GGAGGCAAGAACATACAATAGAATAAATACAGCCTCTTCTATAAATGATGTTGGGAAAATTAGGCAGATACATAAAAATAAAAAAAAAAGAAAGAAAGAAAAAAAAAAAAAGAAACTAGACCACCAACTTATACTGTACAAATAATAAACTCAAATTTATAAAAGACTTAAACATAAGCCATGAAACCATAAAAATCCTGGAAGAAACCACAAGCAGCAAAATCTCAGATATCGCTCACAATATGTTTGTGGATATATCTCCTAGTGAAAAGGAAACTAAGGAGAAAATATGTGGAACTACATCAACATAAAAAGCTTCTGCCAAAGAAACCATCAATAAAATGAAAAAGGATCCCACTGCATGGGAGAACATACTTTCCAATGATTCACATGATAAGGGGTTAATTTCCAATATATACAGGGAACTCATACAACTTAACAAAAGGAAGACAAACAATTCAATTAAAAAATGGAATGGGTAAAGGATCTAAATAGACACTTCTCCAAAGCAGACATACAGATGGCCAAGAGATATATGAAAAAATGGTGGAAGCCACTGATCATCAGAGAGATGCAAATTAAAACAACAATGAGGTATCACTTCATACCTGTCAGAATGGCTACCATCAATAAATCAACAAATGACAAGTGCTGGTGAGGGTGTAGAGAAAAGGGAACCTTAGAACACTGCTGGTGGGAATGCAGACTAGCGCAGTTTCCTCAAAAAATTAAATATGGATCTGCCATTTGATCCAGTGATCCCACTTCTAGGGATAAAGAGACCAGAAATACCAATCAGAAAGAAAGTATGCACTCCTATGTTCATAGCAGGACAATTTATAACAGCTACGATCTGGAAACAGCCCAAGTTCCCATCAATAGACAAGTGGATAAAAAAGCTGTGATACATTTACACCATGGAACACTGATTGGTTGCCTCCCATATACATCCCAACCAGGGATTGAATCTGCAACCTAGGTATATGCCCGACTGGGAATCGAACTCGCAATCTTTTGGTGTACAGGATGATGCTTCATAACTGAGCCACAGTGGCCAGGGCAATGTCCTTCTATTATTGATTTCTAATTTCATTCCACTGTGAATGGAAGTGGTTAGAATGGACATTCTTGCCTTATTCCTGATATTGGGGGAAATTTTCAATCTTCCACCATTAATTATGATGCTCATCATTAATACAAACATATAGCCAGATTTCTGATAAAAATGCAAAGGCAAGTAAATGGAGAAAGAATACTCTTTTCAACAAGCACTAGAACAATTGGATATACATAGGCAAAAAAGTAAACCTCAACCTAAACCTCACACCTTATATAAAGTAAATATGGATTACAGATCTAAATGAAAAATATACAGCTATAAAACCGTTATAAGAAAACCAAGGAAAAAATATTTTTCGTAATCTGGTATTAGAAAAAGACTTCTTAGGCATATGAAAAACAAGCCACCATCCATGAGAGAAAAAATTTGATAAACTGGAATGTACCAAAATTTAAAATATTTGCTGAGGCAAAAATATTTGTACACTGAAAACTACAGAATGTTGCTGAAAGAAATTAAAGACACAAATAAATGTAAAGACATCCCATGTTCATGGATTGAACACTTAATATCTTTAAGATATCAATATTACCCAAAGTGATCTATAGGTTCAATATAATCTCTACCAAAACCCCAATGACAATTTTTGCAGAAATAGGAAAAGCTATCCTAAAATTCGTATGTATTTCAAGGGACCACAAATAATGAAAACAATTTAAAAATATATATATTTTATTGATTTTTTACAGAGAGGATGAGAGAGAGATAGAGAGTTAGAAACATCGATGAGAGAGAATCACCGATCAGCTGCCTCCTGCATACTCCCCACGGGGAACATGCCCGCAACCAAGGTACATGCCCTTGACTGGAATCGAACATGGGACCTTTTAGTCCACAGGCTGACGCTCTATCCACTGAGCCAAACCTGTTTTGGCATGAAAACAATTTTTAATAAGAACAAAATCATTGATTTAAAATCTACAGTAATTAAAACAGTGTGGCACTGGCATAAAGACAGAAATATAAACTAACGGAATAGAACGGAGAACCTCTCATATTATGGTCAAATGATTCTCAGAGAGGGTGCTAAGTCCATTTAATGGGGGAAGGACAGTCTTCAACAAGTAGTACTAGTAAAACTAAATACCAACATTTTAAAAATCAAGTTGGACCCCTTATCTTATACCATATACAAAAAGTAACTCAAAATGGACTAAAGACCTAAATGTAAGAGCTAAAAATATAAAGCTCTCAGAAAATAATAGATGAGAAAAGCTTTATGACATTAGATTTGGTAGTTATTATATTTACTGGATAAGACAGCAAAAACACAAGTAAAAAAAGAAAAAATTGAGAAACTGGACTTCATAAAAAATAAAAACTTTTTTGCATCAGAGGATACTATCAACAGAGAGAGAAAGAAGGCAACCCAAGGAACTGGAGAAAGTATAGGCAAATCATAAATCTGATAAAGGATCAATGTCCAGAATATATAAAGAATGCCTACAACACAACAACAAATAAACAAACAACCTATTTAAAAAATAGCAAAGGACTTAGTCATTTCTCCAAAGATATACAAATGTCCAAAAAGCACATGAAAAGATGACCAACATCACTAGTCATTAGGGAAATGCAAATCAAAACTATAAGGAACCCAGCTGGTGTGGCTCAATGGTTGAGCATCGACCTATGAACCAGGAGATCATAATTCGATTCCTGGTCAGGGCACATGTCTGGGTTGTGGGCTTGATCCCTGGTAGGTGGTGTGCAGGAGGCAGCCAATCAATGATTCTCTCTCATCACTGATGTTTCTTTCTCTCCCTCTCCTTTCCTCTCTGAAAACAATAAAACTATATATTTTTAAAAACTACAAGGAAATACCACTTCACACACATTAGGATGGTTAGTCTAAAAAAATAAATAAAAGAAAATAAGTGTTGGCGAGGGTATAGAGAAACTGGAATTCTTGTACATTGCTGGTGGGAAGGTAAAATGATATAGCCTCTATGGAAACCAGTGGTGATTACTCAAAAGATTAAATAAACATAGAATTACAATATGATTCAGCAATTCTACTTCTGGGTATTTACTCAACAGAATGGAGAGCAGCTACTTCAACAGATACTTATACATCCAGGTTCATAGCAGCATTATTCACAATAGTCAAAAGGTAGAAGCAAAACAAGTGTCTATTGACAGATGAATAGATTAAAAAAATTAATATATCCATACAATGGATTATTATTTAGCCTTAAAAAAGAAGGAAATTCTGACATATGCTACAACATGAATAATCTCGAGGACATTATGCAAAGTGAAAAAAGGACAAATACTGTATAATCCCACTTACATGAGGTACCTAGTGTAGTCAATTCATAGAGACAGAAAGAACAGTGGTTGCCAGGGGCTGAGGAGAGGGGAGAAAGGAGAGTTAGTGTTTAATGGGTACACAGTTTCACTTTGAGAAGATGAAAAAGTTGTGTAGATGGATAGTGGTGAATGTTGCAGAACAATGTGAATATACTTAATGCCACAGAACTGAACACTTAAAAAAGGTTAAAACAGTCCATTTTAGTAAGGTATATTTTACCACAATAAAAATTTTGTACTACAGAAGACAGTGTTAAAAGAATGAAAAGACATACTACATATTGGGATAAAATATTTGCAAATCAGATACACAACAAAGAATTGTGTTTAGAATATATAAAGAACTCTCACAAGTGATCAGGAAGAAAATAAACAGCCCAATTAAAAAAACAGCCAAAGAACTGAACAGACACATCAGCAAACAGGATATAAGGATGGCAAATAAGCATATGAAAAGATGTTCAACATCATTAGCCACTAAGGAAATGCAAATTAAAACTACAATGAGATACCATTTCACAGCTAATAGAATAACTAAAATAAGTACCAACAATACCAAATGCTGACAAAGATGCAGAACAACTGGAACTCTCATACATTGCTGGTGGGAATGCAAAATGATTCAGCCACTCTGGAAAATGGTTTGGCAGGTTCTTATAAAGTTAAACAAACACTTACCATATGACCCAGTAATCCCACTCTTAGATATTTTACCTTGGAAAAATAAAAATTTTATGTTCACACAAAAACCTGCACAAGAATGTTCATATCAGTATTATTCATAATCACCATAACCTGAAAACAGCTCAAATACACTTCAATGGGAGAATGGATAAACAAACTTTGGAACATCTATACAATGGAACACTACTCAGCAAAATGAATTGATACACACAACTTGAATTAATTTCAAAGGCATTATGTTGAATGAAAGAAGCTACTCTCAAAAGATTACATATCTTGTGATCCATTTGCATGAACATTCTCTAAAACACAAAACTACAGTGATGGAAAACAGATCAGTGATTGCCAGAGATTATGGGTGGAGTTGGGGTGACTACCAATGGTCAGTATGAAGAAGTTTTAGGGTGATGGAGCTGTTCTTTATCCTGACTGTGGTGGTGATTACATGAATCTACATGATAAACATGCTTTACAATTCACAGAATTGTACACCCCTCAAAAATCATTGTAAGTTCATTTAAAAAATAAAATATTAGCTATTATATTATCATCATCATCATCAATATTTATACTTTACTGAATAATAAAAATATTCAGAATTACTTGTGAAATAAGATGTAAAAAATATTAAAGTTGTTTTATGTCTGGTACAATAACTTAAAGGTATAGAGAAAAAGCTCAACAACACTAAATGTAAAAGCTTTACAACTTCTTCTAGCTCCTCTCTTTAATATTCTATATAAGAATAATATGCTCCCTCTGGATAATTTCCTATAAACATTGTCATATATCAGATATGGAATTAAATAAGCACTCAACTTAGAAGTCTGGGACCCTAGGTTACATTCCTAAATCTAACACTGTAAGAAAACTCTCAACTTGCCTTTTGTGCCTAATTTTATCTTCCTCTTCATTGAGGTCATGTACTTGTCTGCACTTGTCTTTTTGTGGTATGCTGTGAAGGTTTAAAGCAAGGAGTTTCAAAGATAGGAAACAGAACAGATTTATATACTACCCACCCACCCCCAAATAACAGGCACTGCTCTGATTCACATGTATTACCTCAATCTTCTGAACAATCCTACTATATAGCTACTATTAATATTGTCACTTTACAAACAAAGAAACTGAAGGACAGAGTGATAACTTGCCCAAAATCTTATAGCACCAGAATTAAGTGGGGCACCAGAATTTTCCGAGTCTGCCTCCAGGACTCTGCCTCTAGAACCTATATTCTTAATCAGTATGTATTAACGCCTCTCTACAAAAGGCTATTCATTTGTTCTTTTCTTCCTTCACCACTGCTCTTCCATGTCTATGGTATCTAACAAACCATTCATTCATTCTCATGGCTTTACTTCTGATCTAAGCATAGATGATTCCCAATTCTATCTAGTTCTGACCTCTCCCTTGAGCTTCACTGTTGCATTTCTAACTGCCTCCTCAATATCTGCATTAATGAACCTGCCATTCTCACTAATTCAACATGTTCAAAATCAAAGTCACTATTTTCCTCAAAATTTCCCCATAAAAGCTTTCTTAATTTTGACAAGTCACACAGCCTTGAACCATCTGAATTATCTTTGATACACTTTTCTCTATTGACTGTCCTCCTTCAGCCTCAGTCAACAAGTTTTACCAATCCTTACCTTGTAATGTCTCATATCTACCTCTTTCTAATTCCACTGCCATCATTCTAGTCCATATCTTCATGTCTAAGAACTCTATTACCTCCTAAATCATTTCCCCTGCTTCCATTTCTTCCTCTCTCTCATCATACAGGGGGTGGGGTGGGGGAGTAAAAGTAGGCTTACAGTTATGAATATGTAAAACACAATTTATTCTTGTATTATTATTTTTTAAGTATTGTATTATTTTTCCATATAAACCTACTTTTGACTCACCCTGTATTTCTTGGTCACCAGATTAATCATTTTCAAATACTGGTTTTCTCATGTTACTCCTGGTTCAAAAACTTTTAACCATATCCAATCTAACTAACTGAATAACTAACTCTGTATTGGTCTATATTGTCTACCACAGAAAGGTAAAAACTTTTAGCTACCTTGTCTCTCACAACATCCCAGAACACATCATAGTGCTCACAACATCTGCTGTGATGCCTTTCCTTCTCACCCTACAGTATTAAAGGAACATTTAAATCTTACCTCCGAGAGGCCTTCTTCAGTTATGCCAATGCACAGTAGCCTTTTCCTCCTCTGAACTCCTACAGTACTTAACAACTGTATCTAGCATTGTTAGTAAAATGTCCTGTTTCTCTCAAACTAGACTGTAACTGGCTTAAAGTTGGGAACTATTTCTTAAACTTCTGTGCACCTTACACAGTGCCTAGCAAAACTTATCTGTTACACTCATTCTTTCTGGTTAAGACACAGACCATTTCTCTATAGATTTTGTGCTAATTTATGGTTCAGTCTAAAAACTTTTACAATTTAGCCTCACCTATCTTTCTAGTGTCATCTCCTGTAATTAATTCCCTGCCAAAACCTATACTACCTGCCACACTGACCTTTTCATTGTTCCCAGGTCCTTTCACAATCCTGTTCCTATTCACCTATTATCCGTAATGTCCTCTCCACCTTGTTAATCTGACAAATTTCTGTTAACCCATCAGGACTTAGTAGAAATGTCAATTCCTGACTACCCCAACCACACTTGATGCTCTATGTTCTGTGCTCCCTCAGCATTTTATTCACATGTCTACAAATAGCAATTGAATTGCAACTAACTCTGAACATATTTGTCTCTCTCACACATTCCTCAAAGTAGTGAAAGTTTGTCTTTCCCCTACCCACTTCACTAACTCTTCATATTTAATGCGCTAATGGTAAATCTCTCTCTTAGTGAAAGAATACATCAACGTTAGTGCTGATCACGTACCTTGGTAATAAAGAGCCTTAAGGAAGGAGTGACGATCAGCACCCTGAAATAAAGATTTTTCTATTTCCATTTCTCGCCGGGTCAGCTGTTTGCTCTTTGCAAATCTCTGTGGCAGGCAAAGGATGCGCTGACGCTCCGAGATCCTTTCTTCAATATCTTGAAGGCAGTTCTGTATTGCTTCAGGGGTTGCCCTCAGTCTTGTCCTCTGAAATCAGAGAAATGAGAGGGCATATATCATAGAGGACATACTCTGAAAGGGATGGTCTGATACTTAAAGAGCAATGATGATCAGGGTCCAGAATGAGCATTTATAGATGTGGTAGCTAATCAGTCAAGGGATAGCTCTTTTTTCCCAAGGTCTGTCCTAGGAATCAAAGAAGATTCAGACACAAAGCTTAGTTTTGTGAGAATTAAAAATAAAAAGGGTCTCAGTGCCAAATGAAGAGATATTGCTCTGCATTTTCCTGAAAAAAAAATTGCCCCGCTCACCTTTTCACCTGAAACATGGCTCTTCCAGATCAAGATTTCTGTTTCATTGAGCCCTAGTTCCCTGAGAGCAGCAGTTTCCTGGTCCTTCTCATGCAATGTTTGGAACTGGGACAAAGTCATAGTTCCAGCTGCTTCCTTCCCAAAGGGCTTGTACATGGTACCAGGAGCAAAACTCTCTTTCTTAGACACACATCTGCAAACCCAGAATGAAGAGAGTAAGTACATCTTCGAATTACAATTCACAGAAATAGGGCTTATCATTAAAAGAAGCACAATAAAACTCATCTGCAGTTTCTCACTCATGTCCTATTTCTAGGCTGAAGTGCCACTATAACAATATGGAACTCTACCAATAGTCCTCTCATTCAGGACTAATAAATGACTGTATCAAATATTTGATTATTGAATATCTACTCTACATCAAATACTGTGCTGGGTATTGAGGCTTTAACAATTAAAAAGATAAAAATGGTTTCTGCTTTTATGGAAGAACAGTAGGAGAGGCAAGTAAACAGGCAAATGATAATATTGGATTATAAGTGATATGTATGTTAAGGGAAGATATAGGAAAGATACTTAACATAGATGTAGTAAAATATAGGAGGATTTGCAGAGGAAGAGACATAGAAGCAAAACCCTGCCTAAAACGTAGAAGTTTGCCAAGGAAAGGGGGGGTGGCGAGGAGTGTTGAATCCAGGCTTTAAAAGGGGCCACCTGGAGGTGAAGGTCTATGATACTCTACCTGTTTGCAAAATCAGTACTTACTCCTCAATGGAGACAGAGGTGTCAAGTTGATGCTGAAGGAGGCTTTTCAGCTGCCTCTCCCCTTCTGTTTCTAACTCTTCTAGGACATGATCATCACTCTTCACACAGCTGTTTACCCTAGAGTAGCACAGCGAGCAGAAGAAATAGTGAAACCTCAAATTCGATTCTTTACCTATATTATCTACCTTTAGTGATCACACTTGTTCAAAGACCCTTCTCTAACAATCCGTTGCACTTTATATTCATTTCATAAACATTTTTTAAATACCGACTTACACACAACACACTGTAAGGTACTGATGGAGTCAAAGGTATTCATAGGCCCTATCCTCAAAGAGCTTGTAATTTATTTAGGGAGAGGAAATATATATGTGTGTATGTATTGTGTGCATGTGCCTGGCAAGGAGGGCAGTAAGGGAGGAGAGAGGAGAATGAAAATACGAAGAAGCGTATGCCAAATTAGTAGGAGTTCACAAAAGAAAGAAATAACTGGGAGTCAGGAGGGTAAAGGAAGACTTTTTTTTTTTTTTTTGTAATATATTTTATTGATTTTTTACAGAGAGGAAGAGAGAGGGATAAAGAGTTAGAAACAACGATGAGAGAGAATCATCAATCAGCTGCCTCTTACACCCCCCCACTGGGGATGTGCCTGCAACCAAGGTACATGCCCTTGACCGGAATCGAACACGGGACCCTTCAGTCCACAGGCTGACGCTCTATCCACTGAGCCAAACCGGTTTCGGCAAGGAAGATTTCTTAAGCAGGCATTTAAAGGACTGTATGATGAAAGGAAGAAGAGGGACAGCAAGTATGAGATGTTCTGGGGTTAATGAGAAGTTCAATTTAGCTGTCATTCAACTATGGGATAACTGGGGAATAATCTTGGAGGGGTAATTAGACTCAGATCTCAAATGGCCTTAACTATACCAACTAAGGGGCCTGGATCTTAATGTATAGGTATTAGAAAGTAATTTATTAGGCACTTAAGTGGCATGGTACAAGTGATGCTTTAGGAAAAAGAATGCAGTTATAACATGCCTTATGGATTAGTAGGAGTAAAAGCTAAGTAAAAGATAACCTCCAAATTTTTCAAACTGAGAGAACAATGGTACCAATGTAGGAAAAAGGAAGCTCCAGATGAAATAGTTTGGGAAGAGGGAACATCAGTATTGTTTTAGCCATGTTGAGTCAACTACCTATTACAATGGAAACACCAGGAATATTCAAAGACATATTGAGTCTTAGGTGACAGTATCAGTGATACTGGCTTAAAGGAAAGTGATATATGGAAGAAATGTCGCACAGATAAGTATTAGGCTGAACATGGAAATATCAAGTCATATGTAGTGTCAGGATCTGGAGCTGTGAAAAGGAGATCTCCAAAGGAAAAAGCATAGAAACAAATGTGAAAGGGGTCATAACATTTTATAGCCTAGGCACTACTGTACAGAAATCTAGGTAATGCTAACATGAGCCAACTAACCATAAATAACTTAAAACACTTACTAGAGTATAAAGAAATAGCAGAATTATTTAAGTAGGCAATGACAGATTATAAAAGACAAAAAAAACTGAGCTAACTGCATGAGGAAGATAAATATTAAAATACCTTATAAAATAGTCCTTTATTATTGAGGCCTAGGAAAAGTATCCCTCATAATTATAAGCAAGATTCTCATGCTCTAGAAAGACTTATACCTATTTTAGGAAATAGGTATAAGTCCCATTTGTTAAAATATTCTTAGGCCCAGAGTTTTAAAAATTCCTTTTAAGTATCTTAATTTTTATTTATTATTTAGAATTCAGAAAGTTTTTGCTAAGTTTAAGGTGGCTTTGAAATATGTAAACCATAGCTAAATACTCAAAATGTTGAGTAAAAAAAGCAAGTCACAGAAAAATGTATACAATATGTGTCCATTTATATAAAGTTGAAAAATGGATAAAACAAGCAATATTTTGTTCAGGGATAAAGTCATAAATTATAAAACTATTTTTTTTTTTTAAAGAACGGGAATGATAAGCACAAAATTCTGGATAATGGTCCCTTGAGGAGGGAGAGAGGAGAAGTAATCTGGGAGGGGGACACTGGGGAATGGCAGGTCTAAAGCTTATAGTGGGTATGAGTCTACTATTATTCTTTAAACTCTATATATACATTATTTTGCATGTATGAGATATATCACTAGAAACATTTTTTTTAAAGTCATTTTGAGGCAGGGAAAATCAGAACCAGTTTCTTAAAAGATGCAGAAACTGACAATGCAGGACAGCATAGTATCAGTATGAATTGTAAAAACACATCACTATTCCAGAGCGATTATTCTACTTGCAGAGTGAATACAAAACTAATTTGAGAACCTTAGAAAAGGCTTGTGGACTAATAGGGAAGCTCAGGCTCTCAACAATGACCCGCCAAGTTAAAGCTGCCATTTCCTGCAGAACCAGTGGGGGGAACTGCTCGCACCAGTGCCTTTCTTTTCCTATGACATTGAATCGGTTTTGCCTTCTAAATTTGTAGAAACAAAGTATGACTTACCTTAAGATTTGAAAACGTTACATGCCCGTGTTTTCTTTAATACACAAACCCTGCAAATAAAGGAGCCTACCCAGGTCCCCTTTCTGAGGACAGGGTGGAGGTAGGGGGAGGAGCTGGCCTGTGTTCCCCCGGCACAAGGCATTAGTCGGCCAAGACTCTTTCACCTGGGTGGGTCCATGTGCAATAGGAAGAAGCCACTGCACGTGTCCGGCTCCCGTGGCCCGCGCTGCGGCTGAGATGCCTGGGCTGGAAGGGCATTTCTGTGGGAACCAGCAGCGGCGGCGGCGGCCCTTCCTGAACTTCGCCCAGCAGGCCTGCCTAGCCGGTCTCCTCTGGTCCCTCTTTTGTCTCCCCTCTCACACGAAACCGCATCCCGAGATCGTGATACACCCCCCCCACACAAAGTAATAAAAGCCACTTTAAGTTAAAAGGTAAAACAGAGTTCCCTTCGCTGTCTGTTCAGACAAGCCCTTACCTCTTCATGTTTCCACAGGCCCTTTTCTCTAACTTGGATCAACAGACCTCGGACTTCAAGTCCCAGAAATCTGCGCGGCCAACTCTGAGGGGATTGTGGTGGAGTGCGGGGCTCTGGGAATTGTAGTAGTGCAGAGCTAAAGAAACGGAAAGAGAAAGTAATGTATTGAGTAACTGGTATGTTGTAAATTGTTCAAGTATTTCTCTTAAATTTCTTTTAAAGGTTAAAGGCAACACCCAAAATATCCAGTTCATAAACTTAGAAGTAACCTTTGACTTCTTCTTTTTAAAAAAATATATTTTATTGATTTTTTACAGAGAGGAAGGGAGAGGGATAGAGAGCTAGAAAAATTGATGAGAGAGAGAGAAACTTCGACCAGCTGCCTCCTACACCCCCCCCCCCCCCCCACTGGGGATGTGCCTGCAACCAATGTACATGCCCTTGACCGGGGAACCTTGACCAGAATGGAACCTGGGACCTTTCAGTCCTCAGCCCGACGCTCTACCACTGAGCCAAACCGGTTTCCGCAACCTTTGACTTCTTGACACTCTCATTCAGTATCACCAAATCCTGACGCCCCCAATTTAACGTGTCCTTTCTAGCCCGCTTCTGCTTCCAAGGACTTATTATCCCGCCTACCTGCTGTTTCCAGTGGAGGTCAGTCCTGTGTAACCACAATGATCAGACACAAGTTTGACATCACTTGCGCTAATGGTTCTCCTCTATCTGTAACAGAGACTTAAAAGACATGTACTTCTGGAGAATCAGAAATCCATATGTATTCAGGCCCGTGAACGTTTTATTAATTATGGTTAATCAAGAAAGGGATACAGCATAATGGTTAAGAGCATGGGCTCTTAGTTCCCAGAAATGAAAATACTGATGTTCTTAAGTATATGGGGGGTGGGGGGGAGGTGTTTAATTTCACTACAAGATGGAAATTTCAAAGTACGCTGATTATGAAACAACTGACCTGTAATCCTCAAAACCGTCAAGTTAAAAAACATGAAAGGTCTGAGAAACTGTCACAGCCAAACGAACCAAGAGACATGGTGATGATTAAATGCAATGTGATATCTGAACTCACAAAAAGAGCCCGAGATAAAAACAAAGGAAATATGAATAAACTTGCACTTTACTTAATAATAAGGCTCATGAGTTGTGACAAATATACCAGTTATGTTAAGACTTAACATTAAAGGAAGCTGAGTGGAGGTATATGGAACTCTGTACTGTGCAACTTTTCTGTAAACCTAAAACTGTTCAAAAATAAAGTTTATTTTTAAAACGCACACTATAGTAACATTTTTTACCTATCAGATTGGTAAACATCCATAAGTTTGAGAACGCACTTGTTTTGTTGAGATCATGGGGAAATAGGAACTCTTAATACATTGCTAGTAGAAAAGTAAATTGGTACAACCTTTGTGGAAGGCAATTGAAATCATAAATGCTCATTCCCTTTAGCATAGCAATTGATTGTGTATGAATTGTTTCCTCAATGTTATATAGTCTCAACTATATATATATATATATATATATATATATATATATATATATATATATAGCAACATTGCTTTTAATTTAAAAATACTGAAAAAAATTAAATATACATGAATTTGATACATCCACTCAATGGAAAACTCTTAGCATTCTCAAAGATGACCAAGTTCTATATAGAGAACTGGACTGTGAGGGACAAGAGTGGGAAAAACTCTTCAATCTATATATATTTTTACACCTTTTGAATTTTGAACTACATGATTATATTATCTAACTGACCATTAAAAAAATTAAATGGAACAATTTTTATATCACAAAAAGCCAAAGAAGAAAAATGGGTTTGGGGTGGGGGTCACACTGTTTGGATTTCTCAGTTCCCACAGTTATTGACAGTATAGCATAGTAGTCATTCTGGATTTTAATATTTGCTTTGTCAAGTTATAAGACTATGTGAGTTTTAATAAGTTTCTTTATAGGCAGGTTTCCTCATCTGGAAAATGGGGATAATATCTCAGAAGAGAGTGACTATAAAGTAATATACAAAAATATGGTTTTAAAATCACTTGGCAGAATGGCCATCCATGAATAAATATTCCAATACATTATCCAATAGGTTCAGATGTATTAAAACTAGCTGTATTGCCATGGTCAAGTTAGAAGATAAAACCAAAGAGCAGCTTCTGAAAGACATTGTACTTTCTATCCTGAGAATTACTAATAGATAAAAAAAATCTCATGGGAAATATTAGCCTACACCAAGTAAATCCTATATAGTGTGGGGCTGAATTCTACTGCTCAAGCAAAATATCTAATTGATAAATTAATCAATAAGGAAATGGAAAAATACACCAAGATTGCTTGTGTGTTTATTCCTTGGGAAGGTGGCAAAGGGTGAAACAAAACTACACTAACCACCACATCAGACTTATATACAACTTTAATACATACTACATTACAAATGCACTAAGTGGGATGGGTGGAGAATGAATGGTGAAAAAGATATATTCACATAGGCTGAAATTGCAACTGGATAGCAAGGTCATAAGAAAGTAATCTATGTGCCTGCATATGACTGTAGCCAGCCGAAGTGGCAGGTACCAAGGGACAAACATTCAGAAAATTACACCAGGTGGAACACCATGCTATTTCTAGCTCTGCCAAACTTATTAACTGTAGAATAATAGCTGTTCTGTTTCCCACGGCACCCTTTACCTACTTTAAAAGGATATCAGACAGTATATGAAAAGCTTTGAGATTTCTAGATGTTATTCACAAGTATAGAGATATTACTATGAGGTCATTTCACCCCTAGAAAAATTTATGACTAACTGAAAAATACCCCTCATTTGTCTTTCTGACAATTTAACAAACATTGTTTAATTAAGCCAGAAGCTCCTCCTTAAAATAGACATATTTTCAGGATTTGTTCTTTTTGAGCCCTTTGTTAATACCACACTTCTGATGAATACATTATGAAGCAATTTCCAGATATGGAAGAAGATGCTAAAACCAAAAATCTTTGCTTAAAGAAAGATAGGATCACTCATCTAACATGAGATAGCATAAATGCTGATATAGAAAACAAATACAGCATCTTTAAAAAAAAAAAAGTAGTCAAGCACTGGGAAAGTGTAAACAAACAAATTAAAAAATTCTCCTTCATATAATTTTAGCTGGCCTTTAACAATGATTACGAGTGGCTCAAGATTTCAGCACCTTACATAAATACTGCCTTAAAATTACTGGCAAAAATAGGTTATTTATCATCTTTTAATTAATATTAGTTCAACAGTGTCGTGTTGAACCAGAGTCAGGAGGAACCTTAAAGATAATTTAGTGCAAGGATCTAGATTCCAAACAGTACCAGTAAATTTTGCATTATTACTGTATTAAACTAGAAACCACTTGCTATCCACTGTCCTTTTCTATTTCCTGGAAAAAAACAAACACAAAAACAGAACTCCCAGTACAAAGTCAATAGGAGTACTATAGCCTCCTCTTTCTTTACTAAGGGAATTTATTTTTTATTTATTTATTTTTTACTTTTTTTATTAAATTATTATCTGTGTACATATTTTACCAATGCCCGCCCCCCTCACATACATACCCACACTCCCCAGAGTTTTGTGTCCATTGGTTGTACTTATATGCATGTATACAAGTCCTTCAGTTGATCTATTATCTCCCCCAGATCTCCCTCCCCTCCCCACTGTAAATTGACAGTCTGCTTGATGCTTTACTGTCCCTATATCTATCTTATGGTTCATCACTTTATAATGTTCTTTATTATCCATAAATGAGTGAGCTCATGTGATGTTTCTCTTTCATTGACTGGCTTATTTCACTCAGCATGATGTACTCCAATTCCATCCAGGTTGCTGCAAATGAAGAAAATTCCTTCTTTTTTATGGCAGCGTAGTATTCCATTCTGTAGATGTACCATTGTTTTTTGATCCATTAATCTGTTGATGGGCACCTCAGCTGTTTCCAAATCCTAGCAATTGTAGATTGTGCTGCTATGAACATTGGGGTTCATATATCCTTTCTAATTTGTGTTTCTAGTTCCTTGGGATATAATCCTAGGAGTGGTATTACTGGGTCAAATTTTCGGTTTTTTGAGGAAACTCCATACTGTTCTCAACAGTGGTTGCACCAGTCTTCATTCCCACCAGCAGTGCACCAGGGTTCCTTTTTCTCTGCAACCTCGCCAACACTTGTCTTTTGTTGATTTGTTGATGTTGGCCATTCTGACAGGTGTGAGATGGTACTGCATTGTTGTTTGGATTTGCATCTCTCGGATAATTAGTGACTTTGAGCATGCTTTCATGTGCCTCTTGGCCTTCCTTCTGTCTTCTTTTGAAAATATTCTATTTAGGTCCATTGCCCATTTTTTAATTGGATCATTCATTTTCCTTTTATTTAGTTGTATGAGCTGTCTGTAGATGTTGGAGATTAAACCTTTATCAGTGATATCATTTGCAAATATGTTCTCCCACACCGTGGGATTTCTCATTGCTGTGTTGATGGTTTCTTTTGCTGTAGAAAAGCTTTTTATTTTGATGTAGTCCCATTTGTTTATTTTCTCTTTAGCTTCCATTGCCCTAGGGGCAGTATCAGTGAAGAAGTTCTTTTGGCATATGTTGAGATTTTGCTGCCAGTGGATGCCTCTAGTATTTTTATGGTTTCCCATCTTATGTTTAAGTCCTTTATCAATTTTGAGTTTATTTTTGTGTATGGTGTAAGTTGGTGATCTAGTTTCATTCGTTTGCATGTCTCTGTCCAATTTTCCCAACACCATTTATTGAAGAGACTGTCATGACTCCATTGTATATTTGTGCCTCCTTTGTCAAAAATTAATTGAGCATAGTGATTTGGGTTGATATCTGGGTTCTCGATTCTATTATATTCCATTGATCTATATGTCTGTTCTTGTGCCAGTACCAGGCTGTTTTGAGAACAGTGGCTTTGTAATACAGCTTGAAATCTGATATTGAGATCCCTCCTACTTTATTCTTCTTTCTCAGGATTGCTGTGGCTATTCGGGTTCTTTTATTGTTCCAAATGAACTTTTGGAGAGTTCTTTCTAGGTCTGTGAAATATGCCATTGGTATTGTAATGGAGA